CGAAGGTTTTTGCTGCTTTGGTGAAATCCACGAGAATGATTGTCATGCTAACAAGACTCGAAACTTATACATGAGACGAATTTGGGATTCTGACAACCATTTGATGATTTCTTTACAATCAACGCTATGATGAGATCATTTACCAGTGCCATTTATACGCTAGGGCTGTTTCTGGTTATCTCCACACCAAAGACATATAACGGCGAAGTGAAAGAAATGTGGTCAGGACCAGACAAACCACTGTATTGTGTGTCAAGGATGAAATGCAATGAAGCATGTCACAAGGGCAATCGTTCATTTATATCGACTTAACGAACACGTGTTCATGACGTTCGACTAAACGAATGTTTTGACTCTTTTCATTGCTTGTCACGGGTTGTAAAATTGCGGGTGTCTTCTTAATGAAGTAAATTTCAGAAGAACTGAGGGTTGCTTTTCATCGGTTTTAGCAATATTCCAGCAGTATCACGGAGGGAAACATGTCCCGGAGGGGGACATCAGACATGGACGTCAAGCATTGTACCAGTATGAAGAGCGGACGCTTCATTCTACGAGTTACCAACCCTCTCCTTAAGACGATAGACGAGGGTTACATTTCAAATTTTGCAGGTTTCAACAAGGCCCTTCAAGTAACATTTTACACAAACTCGGGTTTTATTGTCCTGGTAATAACTGGGGACGCTTACAAGTAGCGTCAACCCACAACACGGCTTGTAAGTACTCTGACGGGAAAAAGAAATTATACACTTGAAAATTGGAGTGGGTGAGTGAGTATGATTTTACGCCGCTTTTAGCAATATTCCAGCAATATCACGGCGGGGGACACCAGAAATGGACTTGTACCCATGTGACGAATCGAACCCGGGTCTTCGGTGTGATGAGCAAACGCTTTAACCACAAAGCTACCCCACCGTCTCTGAAAATTGGAACTGACCGACAAGTTACAAACGTTATCAAAACGTTACTCGTCCGAATCAAGCAAATGTAAGCCCCCAAACTAAAACGGTGATACCTATGTCAACCACGAATAACCATTTCCTATTTTCTTGGTGTAAACTTTCTCGGCAGTTTGAATAACCAGTGAGTGAGTTTAGTTTTACGTCGCATTCAGTAATATTTCAGCTATATCGCGGCGGTCTGTAAATAATCTAGTCCAGTGAGCAACAGCATGAGCATCGATCTACGAAATTGGGGTGCGATGACAAGTGTGAAACAAGTCAGCGAGCCTGACCACCCGATCCCGTTAGTCGCCTCTTACGACAAGCACGGGTTACTGAAGACCAATTCCAACCGGATCTTCACGGGTACCAGTGACTGAATGCATGAGCACCAATAAAACGTCATTGGGGTTCGGTGACATGAAAACTCAAGATACCACGATGAATTAGCTGTCTCTATCGTCGGAACGAGGAGCATTAGACATACTACTCAACTTTTGATAGGGAAAATCGGGTGTTCGTTTGACACACCTTGATCATGGCAATCATTGTTTGTGTATCGTTGGCAGATGTAGAAATATCCCTCAAAGAGGAGGTTTTTTTACACCGGAATCCACACAGAAGAATATGTAATAAATATGCTTATTTTGCGGCATTCAAATGTTTCATACATAAGAATTTTGAATGGAGCAAGAATCTGCCGTTTTCAAATTCAAATTCTTTTCTATTGCCATATGTTGGCGTGTGGCACGTGCCCTTGCATGTGTGTGTGACATTTGCCGCGGTGGAATAGCTTTGGATAAGTAATTTATAAACACGTGGTTATTGAATAACCGGAATTGCACGACGGATTCTATTTCAAGCAGAAATTTTCCAGAAATGGTTGTCAGTTTGTTTCACTGTTGACAAAAGAAACTTAAATCTGAAAATAATATTATACGATTTAAAGGAGTATACTGCTTTACACAAATCGGTGGAAGCGGTATTGAACCTTTCCTCGTGTGTACGAGGGACTAGCAAAAACCTTTTAGCCTAAAATACTTATACTGATATACATGATAAAAATCAGGCGCGCAGCCAATTTTTTAGTGTAAGCCCGATAAGTTGCAAAGCTTTGTATTTAGATAATATTGGGGGCTTGCCCAACCTTTTGAGCAACAATCATGTGTAAAACCGGGCTTTTCTATAATGGTAGTGACGCCCTGTTAATAACTGTATGATATGAAGAATGGTTTACAGGGGCGGATACAGCTTTTTGAGAAAGAGGGGGTGCACACTATTGAGAAAAGGAGGGGTGCACACTTCATTTTCACCCGGGTTCAATGGACATTTAACAAACTTTCAGCACAAAAGGGGGTTGCGCACCCCTGCAGCCCCCCTCTGGATCCGCCTATGGTTTATATCATTCACATAAATAAACGTAATATTGACAGGCACATGTCGCTAGTTTCCGGTCACGTGACATCTAACCACATGTACCCCTATTGAAACGGCAGAAATGGATAAGCTTGAGTACAGAGGAGTCATAAAGGTTTTGGTCCTCGAGGGCCACCCGGCGAAGGACACTGAAGAGTCCCATGTGGTACGAGTACTGCTGCTAAAAACTTTTTGATAGCTCTCGTATATTTCAGTGTTGGCATCCATTTCTCCATCATCGCGTTACTGTGTGTCATAAAGAAGCCAATCACAACCTGAAAGTACTAGTCATTGTCTATTTTCGACCTGAAAGACGGAGGCTGACTTTTCCGCACATATGCATTCACCTGGTTCCGGCACATCCTTCCACTAACCTCCTGTTTTCCAGCCCAACTACCGACAAACTCACGTGTCTGACTAAATGCAGAAAAGAGCAATAGAATCGAAACACAATGGCTGCAACTAACGATAACGATAGATACCCACAGTAGCCGTGTTGATGAAACGTATACAAACACACGTTGGAAACTCACTCTGACATGAAGTGTTATTGTCATTTTGTCACCATCCTTTTATAACTCTGTGTGAACACATGTTGGAGTTTATATCAAATCATTCTCTAGGTAAATAAATACACGTAGTACGTATGTACCTACATACATACACACATACACACACACACACATACACACATACATACATACATACATACACATACATACATACATACATACATACACACATACATACATACATACATACATACATACATACATACATACATACATACATACATACATACATACATACATACATACATACATACATACATACATACATACATACATACATACATACATACATACACACATACATACACACACACATACATACATACATACATACACATACATACATACATACATACATACATACATACATCACATACATACATACATACATACACATACATACATACATACATACATACATACATACATACATACATACATACATACATACACATACATACATACATACATACACACACACACACACACATACATACATACATACATACATACATACATACATACATACATACGTACACACACACGCACACACACACACACACACACACACACACACACACACACACACACATACATACATACATACATACATACACCAGATCCATCAGTCGCCGGGATGCGGAAGACCAATTCTAACCCGGATCTTCACGGACCTTTTTTCATGTGTAAATATTGACTACACAGCCTGTTTAATAACTAAACATCCATACGTGCGTGGCGAGCTGAATCGTTGAGGAAAAGAATGTTTAATATCCTTGTGTCAATACATGGTGCAATAACTCAGTCATATCACAACAACCGATTTTCAACGTACACGCCCACTAACCACCTCACTAAACACATCTAACTTCGAACAGGTTTTTTGTGTGTGATCAAGGTCGAATTTAAAAGCACTATGACGTAAGTTTAGTATCATGTGTCAAAGCAAGTACATTTTCAAATTTAAGATTCTAAGTTTAACAAAGACGTTTCAAAATGCTTTGAGAGGCATTTTAGATGTAAAGTAAAGATGAAGGAAAACCAAGTTCTATGGATAGTCAACTTCTATACTGCAATGTGCATACAGATATTATGCAATAAATATCATGTGTCACATGGGTTCATGAAGGGGTCATTGATGATTTTGTACATGCGGATGGGGTCACTCACTTTGTGCATAAAAATATTCTCATCATAATCCCCCCCCGCCATAAATTATGAACGGGCCCTATCACTGTTGTAATTATCGGTGTCTTCCCATTTGTGAGAACTCCCAGTTGTGAGACACATTAATTAATGGTTCAATTCACATAGGTGGTGCTTCCACATCCCTACAATGAAAGTGGGATCAGCCCAGTTGTTGAAGAGTACCCACAATGAAATATATTATCAAAGATTATATTTATTCAGAAGAATATGTAATTATGATAACACATTTTTATTGACTATTATTAAGTTTGAAAGTCATTTGGGTTTAAACATATATCATTATTTATGAAAATGAATTGAGATTGGTGAACAAGCATTACTGCTTAGGTAAATTAATTAATCTTTCAAATGATCACGAAATTACCTACACAAAGTGTTTAATTTTGAAAGACATGTACCTGAGTATGTTAATAAATTTATCGTATAAACTTTCATTAAGTTACCTCCACAAGATTCACTTACATAGCAAATCAGTAATTAGCTAGGGTGAATCCATTCTATCAGACAGGGGAGTATGGTGTGTTTTCTTTGTTAATTACCTACTCCACTGTCTCATAACTGGGAGTCTCACAATTGGGAGTTCTCACAAATGGGAGTAGACCTAATTATCACTTGCTTACACCGAAACGTCGCATTCATTACAATAAAGAAGCTGACTATCCATAAAACTTGGTGTCCAGTTTTAAATTGGTAAAATATTTAAGCTAGAGCCGTTGACGACGCAATGAACACGGGTGTGATAAAACAAGAGACGAGGCACGATCTGTGCAGTAGATAGTTGTGTTGCCAGAGTCGTGAGCACACTTCACAGTCATTCAGACTTGGAGGAGATTGGGAGAGTTGCGTCCCTTTAATTCACAGCGACGCGGCTGGTCCGTACTCACTGTATTACCGTGACGCATGCATCGTGCCCATAGATTGTACGCAGTGTGTTTAGCTTTTCATTTCCCTGTTCAACAAAGACTTGTCGGGGGTCACGCTACAACAGTTTATGTTGGCGATAAGATTTTGAACGTAACATTGCCTCAAAGATAATTATTAACATGTTTGCAAGAGACTGATTTGGAAGATTTGGTGGTTCCAGTTATGCTTCTCTCCGAGACACATTAGCTCTAGTCTCCAGAAGGTAAGTTGGTTATTTCTTGGGTTTCATATATAATCTGTATTGTCGTGGAAGAGATTATCATAGTAACTGCTTCTGTATTACATGCGAAAATATAATTCACAATCAGACTCGTAAAAATATATTGCGTTCTAATCTCATTTTACAATCGTGAAATGTCTTTGTTTTTCATAACCCTGTTTAGTTTTTACGCCGCACTCAGCAATGTTGCAGCTACATGGCGGTGGTCTATAAATAATCGAGTCTGGACCCGACAAACCAGTGATCAACGGCATGAGCATCGATCCATGCAATTGCGATACGATGACGTGTGTCAACCATGTCAGCGAGCTTGACCGTCCGATCCCGTTAGTCGCCTCTTACGACAAGCATGGGTTAGTGAAGATCAATTCTAACCTTGTTCATCACGGGTAGTTAGTAAATGGACAGTGACACCTTATAATCCCAATAAAACAGTATGGTTTAACACATGTCAGGATCAAAGAGCTATTTCGATAGTAGCAACCGGCATTGTCTTGGGTGTGTCGTCATAAATCACTTTAGGATTAAACCAGGTGTTGTGAGGGAGTCCAGTCATCGGGCAACCATCACAAACACACGTAGAGGCAAGGCAAATATTCTCCTGGACAGAAGCCTCTCGGATATCAGGAGGGTCAGCTAGTGTCACGTGATTATTGTTTTTGTTATGTACTGCAGAGATGAACTTAAGCTGAGGTGAGGTGGAATGGGGTTTAATGGGGTCGTACTGAGTGGGGTATTCATGCTAAACTGCGTCATGGTATCTCAGTGAGCTAGCACTATAAAACCAGCTTCAGTCTGGGCTAGTACAAGCAGCCGCACATAGACACACACACGCATGCACGTCGTCATATGACCGAAACATTTTCAAGCACGACGTAAAACACAATTTCACCTCACCTCACCTCAAATAGGGGGTGACACTCACTCACTCACTCACTCACGCACGAACGCACGCACTCACTCACGCACTCACGCACGAACGCACGCACTCACTCACGCACTCACTCACTCACTCAGGTCTCAAGTACATAGTTTCCTCTCTTCAGAATGTCTGCATATAACTTCCTGGTCGCACCAGAAACGCCACTCATGGCGTGCAACACAATCGGAACTTCCGTTTTATTGTTTGTAAACATGAGTTTCGAAAACTCGAGAGTAATCCATAGTTTAGTTTTAACTATTTCATAATGACGTCAGTGTAAACATAATTTGAACATAAACATGATGTAACGGTGCACTTTCATTGTCCTGTCATTCTTCATCGGAATATAGCTCACGGGATGTTAAGGTGAGTGAGTGAGTGAGTTTAGTTTTACGCCGCACTCAGCAATATTCCAGCTATATGGCGGCGGTCTGTAAATAATCGAGTCTGGACCATACAATCCAGTGATCAACATCATGAGCATCGATCTGCGCAAGTGGGAACCGATGACATGTGTCAACCAAGTCAGCGAGCCTGACCACCAGATCCCGTTAGTCACCTCTTACGACAAGCATGGGTTACTGAAAGCTCATTCTAACCCGGACCTTCACGGATCGGAATTTCAAGGATTTCGTTTGTGTTGTAGTGAAGTTATTTATGCACCATTATGTAATTTGGAAAGTGGATACCACCAGGGACTGATCTTACATTCCACTTAAAGAAGGGGCGGTGGGGCTATTGGTTAAAGTGATTACACGTTTCGTCGAAGACGCGGGTTCGACATGGGTACAACGTATGAAGCCCATTGCTGGTGTCCCCCGTCGTGGTATTGCTTGAATATTGCTAAAACGGCCTAAAACCACTCACTCATGACGAGTTACTTATACGCATACAACAAATGAATTGAGCCACACATTTCATGAAATGAAAAACATTTGAAAGATGGCTTGTGTGCATAAACAGAATATTGCTGTCCTAAGTAGACTTCACTTAGATTATGATACTGACAGCAAGTCCTCATCGCGGAAAGGGAAACAGGGGTGTCCGCTTTACATTCTTCTACTTCCGTTATTTCAGACAAATCCTCAGCTGACACACCACAACGATCGTCAACAGAGTTTGCATGGTGAACTTGCGTCAAAGGGAAGCAACCGCTTTCTGAAGATGACAATCTGGAGATTCTGATTTCATCACTTGAAGTTGCTGTCAAACGAATCCTGTTCAATGTGTAAACTCTGACGAAGGCAGTTCGCATTTCAAGTGTTTGTTCAAAGATCAGTTCATTGAACTATTTGTAAGCGTGTATAAGCCTCGTAGGATTGTGTTTTTCGTCAACATGTGTTAGTCTGTTTACACAGTATCCACGAAACTATGGAGTCGCAGACGTTGTCTTCAAGTGTGGATGAAACTGGCCATCGGTATTGGGTCAGTTTCTCGAACTCGGCCTTCGCGAAAGGGTCAACATCTCACGCCCATAAAGGAATTCTGAATGGAATGGGACCTAGGTCTGGCGAAAAGGCCATAGTGAAGGCATTTAGGAACGAACCAGGGACCCAAAGCAGGTGTGATACCGAAATAGCTAAGTCCGTGAAGGCTGAAGAACTTGCAAAGGTTTTCAACCGGAAATTCTCCGAAAACAACCTTAACGTCACATTTGCAGAACCTTTGAAAGCTCTGATGGATCAAATAGCTTTGATGGATGTGTTTTCCTTCAGTCGGAGGAGACTCAGTGGTCGAGAGTGGGTGCTTATCGAGCAGAACATGGGGAAGAGGTTCCAAGTGTTTGTGAAACGCTATGGTGAGGTTAGCAAGACCATACACCCGATGCTGCCTGCGTTTATGCATTTTAGTTACCACCATACTGGAGGTGATTTATTGGTTTGTGGACTCAAAGGAGCGGCTGATGAAATTGGCTGGACATTAAAGATCCCCACCATTCATTCTGTTAAACAGGAGTACGGCTTATCGGACTGTGGCGAGAGTGGGATGCTACAGGTGTTTAGCAGACACGAGTGCAACTACATTTGCCAAGGGATGCAGTTACCAAACTTGGCTCAAAGAACAAATCTTGGTGATATGAGTCCACGACTGGAACGTAACCGAAGCTCACCGATTCCTATGTTCCAGAGGCAACCAAGCGCACCTTTTGACCCGGAAGTGTTCTGTGACCCACTGTCTCCCATGATGCAGGGGTATCTTCCTTCACCCCCTCCTTACTTCCAGGAACCGTTTGGAAACATGGGGCACACATTGTTTTATTTGAGGGATTCGGGGACGTTCGGTAGCTGTGATGATGAAACATTCTTCAAGAAATAACATTTCGCCAATACATCCATTACGAACACATGATTTGTATGTACTTTGTGGATTGTATGACCTACCAGCGACGAAGAACCGTACGGTTCCATTGAAAGAGTTTTATCAAAATGCTTTGTTCTTTTATCTTGTACAGCACCCATATTGTTAAGATCAACATAGACCCACGCCGAAAAAACGTAATGTGTGGATCATGGACGTGTACTAACGTGGACCTCTTAACGCTTTACATATCATGTACATACAAGATGTTTTTGAAGCAGTGGTTAACTGACCTATATTCTACATTGTGGTCGCATACAAGATCTTTGTTATAAAAATATATGAAACATATGCATCATTATATAAAACTTTTGAAAACAAGATTTGACTTTAATGTATTCTTTTATGCACCAAGCGACGCACTGTTAGGTTCCAAAGGCAACTGTTGAACTCAAAGAAAGATGACATCTCAGATACTATCCCCTATCGTTATAACCCAACTCCGTGCATAATGAAGCAGACAATAGCAGTCTGTTTACAGCATGAGTAGAGGTCAAACATACATCCCGCCATTGCGCTGTAGCTATCACTGTTAGGAGTGTATATGACAGTTATGAATCACGAATTCTGTTCGTTAACTAAAAGCAATGGGAGTAAAATGAACTACGTTAAACACAGAGTTGAGATACATAGTGTCCATTTATTACCCATTAAAATAATGTCCTTAAGAAAGTTGCATAATTACTCGAGTTCACAAACATCAACCTTGTGTCTCGTTGCGCGAAAGGTGTCACCATGAATGAAATATGTCTTTTACTCACACAATCATTGTATTTACCGGCGTTAGCTGATGGTATTTGAGATCGACTGATGTATGTTGTTGATACGTTTCCCTCCGCGGTTGAACTGTACCTAGATATATGGTAACGTGACTGCACGCCAAGCCATATTGTTTTGTAGAAGGCAAAGGTGACTTTATTCATTAAGTAAAGTGGCTTTCATCGTTTGAAGTAATCTCCTGCTGCGTTCATGATATACAGCCACGATCGGGATGTTGGGACAAAGACATGTCTTATTATGTAAGATGTTTTGTAGTAGTGTCTCGTTTCAGTTTAGGCCATGTGTGTATTGTGTGAAAGTGCTTGCTTTTTATTTGGGGTTACGTGCTTAGGGTAGGCAAGCTTAGCACAGTTTGACACATGCAGACATAATCAGACACACGGGCAGACAGACACATACAGACAGATAACCTGGCAGATACACACATACAGGAGGCACACAAACAGACACAAAAACACATATAGACACACGTACATAGACAGACCCACAGACTAACAGAAACAAACTATAAGAAACAGACAGACATTGGCAGCTATAGACAGACAGGGATCACACCTACAGACACAGACACATAAAGACAGATACAGACAGAAGTACACAGTCAGACAGAGATACCCACAGACGGACAAGCAGACTTAAAGGAACGGACACAGACACATACTGATACATAGAGACAGATCACAAGGACACAGACACACAGAGACAAGAACATAAAGACTACCACACACACACACACACACACACACACACACACGCACGCACACACGCACACACACACAAACACACACAACGCACGCACACACCTGGACAGACACGGATAGAAACGGTGTTGCTCGTTGCTCATAATATCAACCCCTGGATTGTCGGGCCAAGATTCACTAATATTTAGGACGACGGGATGGAGTTGGAATATTTGTGAGTGCGACGTTGAAAAAGTTAATTGAGAAAAAGAACATAAATATGGCTTAAGCCAAATCAAACACGGAGTCATGGGTGTATGTATGTATGTATGAACGTACGTATGTATGCGTGCATGCATGTATGTATATATGTATGTGTGTGTATGTATGTATGTACGTACGTATGTATATATGCATGTATGTACGTATGTATCTATGTATGTATGTATGTATGTATGTATGTATGTATGTATGTATGTATGTATGTATGTATGTATGTATGTATGTATGTATGTATGTATGTATGTATGTATGTATGTATGTATGTATGTATGTATGTATGTATGTATTTATATAAGTACGTACGTATGTACCTCGGTATGTATGTATGTATGTACGTACGTACGTACGTACGTACGCACGCACGCACGCACGCACGCACGCACGCATGCACGCACGCACGCACGCACGCACGCACGCACGCATGCACGCACGCACGCACGCACGCACGCACGCACGCATGCATGCATGCATGCATGCATGTATGTATGTATGTATGTATGTATGTATGTATGCATGTATTAGAGCTGTGTATCGTGGCCTAAGTGGCGAGACGATATATCCCGATACTAGTTTAATGAGGCGAGACGATATATCATGGAAGTATTGGCAAGGAACCTGCGAGACGTTTATCATCACGATACAGTGATGGCGATACGATACTTATCCCGATACTTTACAATCCTTAAAACAGGACGTATATGATAGATAAAATGACTGAATCTTTATTTGTTATACAGCAGAACAGGTGTTACATTCACACACACTTAAAAGGCTGTTCATGTAATAAAGTTTCAGCATTTAATGCTTAAGAAAGTACAATCAAACATATTCAGTATACCTTGATCTAGGTTTCCCTTGGAAAGTTGTGTTTCTGCACCAATGCTTTCACGGACAATTTATACAGTAATTTATACCAGAATCACTGCAAAAAACTCATAAGTATGCTTTCTAAATTTTAGCTTTTCTTTCTTAACAAAGCTAAGACATCGTTCATAGTTGTTAATAAATGGTGTTATTTGTCAAACAACTAAAACATGTTTAAATTACTTAAAGACAAGTCTTTACAGTTGACAGAGATTGTTCACATGCTTTCACTGATACACTAACTCCTTTGTTCATGTAACAAAGATGGCGAACCACAAACAAATTCCTTTAAGGTTCAGTTTGTTTTTAAAATTCAGAAAAGAGACTCCCTTCCTATGACTTATGCAATACTCCCTACAACTTTAAGTAATATTTAAGTAGTATCGGGATATATCGTCTCTTGTGGCGATAGATCGATGTATCATGGACCCTCGCGATATAAATATCCTGATATATTGCCTAAAACGTGTTTTGTATCGATGCTATATATATATATATATATATATATATATATATATATATATATATACTCGTATCGCGTAGTTGACGATGCAAACATCGATACTATCGATGAATCGAATGTCATGTAAGTGTTCCATGTATGTGGAGTATTAGGTTGAAGGTGTGCGTATCCATGCGCTGGGAGGTTAGTTTATATGCGTATCCATGTGCATGGGAGGTTAATTAAAGGTGGGTGTTCCATGCATGGGAGGTTAGTTTAAGGTGGGTAACCCATGTGTGCGGAGGTTAGTTTATGGGGTGGGTGTTCCGCGTGTATGGGAGGTTAGTTTATGGGCGGGCGTATCCATGTAATGGGACAGTATTTATGTATGTATGTACTAGTATGTATGTATGTATGTATGTATTATGTATATGTATGTACGTACGTATGTACCATGTATGTATGTATGTATGTATGTATGTATGTATGTATGTATGTATGTATGTATGTGTGTGTATGTGTGTGTGTATGTGTGTGTATGTATGTATGTATGTATGTATGTATGTATGTATGTATGTATGTATGTATGTATGTATGTATGTATGTATGTATGTATGTATGTATGTATGTATGTATGTATGTATGTACGTACGTATGTACCTCGGTATGTATGTATGTATGTATGTATGTATGTATGTATGTATGTATGTATGTATGTATGTATGTATGTATGTATGTATGTATGTATGTATGTATGTATGTATGTATGTATGTATGTATGTATGTATGTATGTATGTATGTATGTATGTATGTATGTATGTATGTATGTATGTATGTATGCATGTATTAGAGCTGTGTATCGTGGCCTAAGTGGCGAGACGATATATCCCGATACTAGTTTAATGAGGCGAGACGATATATCAGGAAAGTATTGGCAAGGAACCTGCGAGACGATTATCATCACGATACAGTGATGGCGATACGATACTTATCCCGATACTTTACAATCCTTAAAACAGGACGTATATGATAGATAAAATGACTGAATCTTTATTTGTTATACAGCAGAACAGGTGTTACATTCACACACACTTAAAAGGCTGTTCATGTAATAAAGTTTCAGCATTTAATGCTTAAGAAAGTACAATCAAACATATTCAGTATACCTTGATCTAGGTTTCCCTTGGAAAGTTGTGTTTCTGCACCAATGCTTTCACGGACAATTTATACAGTAATTTATACCAGAATCACTGCAAAAAACTCATAAGTATGCTTTCTAAATTTTAGCTTCTCTTTCTTAACAAAGCTAAGACATCGTTCATAGTTGTTAATAAATGGTGTTATTTGTCAAACAACTAAAACATGTTTAAATTACTTAAAGACAAGTCTTTACAGTTGACAGAGATTGTTCACATGCTTTCACTGATACACTAACTCCTTTGTTCATGTAACAAAGATGGCAGACACAAACAAATTCCTTTAAGGTTCAGTTTGTTTTTAAAATTCAGAAAAGAGACTCCCTTCCTATGACTTATGCAATACTCCCTACAACTTTAAGTAATATTTAAGTAGTATCGGGATATATCGTCTCTTGTGGCGATAGATCGATGTATCATGGACCCTCGCGATATAAATATCCTGATATATTGCCTAAACGTGTTTTGTATCGATGCACTCGTATCGCGTAGTTGACGATGCAAACATCGATACTATCGATGAATCGTTACACCACTAGCATGTATGTATGTATGTATTTATATAAGTACGTACGTATGTACCTCGGCATGTATGTATGTATGTATGTATGTATGTATGTATGTATGTATGTATGTATGTATGTATGTATGTATGTATGTATGTATGTATGTGTGTATGTATGTATGTATGTATGTATGTATGTATGTATGTATGTATGTATGTATGTATGTATGTATGTATGTATGTATGTATGTATGTATGTATGTACGTATGTATGTATGTATGTATGTATGTATGTATGTATGTATGTATGTATGTATGTATGTATGTATGTATGTATGTATGTATGTATGTATGTATGTATGTATGTATGTATGTATGTATGTATGTATGTATGTATGTATGTATGTATGTATGTATGTATGTATGTATGTATGTAATACCTGTAGGTATTGTAGGATAGATTTCACACGCTGATTCTTCCAAATATCTTGACCGATCGGGACATTGACTTGCATCGCGTCACCCAACTGAGCATAATGGGTTGAATGAGTGAGTGAGTTTAGTTTTACGC